AGAGCTGTGGCTCCCACTTGCCAAATGCTCACTTTGCCCCAAACGACAGCATTTCAGCTAATTCTCACAACTCCACAAAGTAGCATTAATATCCCCTTTTTCATAAGCAATGCCTCATTGCTTGTTTTTTTCTTAAAGATTTGCTATACAGGCAGTATGGAACATTCACTTGAGGACTTCTTCTGTTTAAAGAACTTTCCTAATAATTTTCCGCTTTTATCAATGAAGAGGGTGGGACAGAAAATCCGTTGGCAGTTATTGAGCGTGTATGAAGTGCCAGGTAATTTTAACTTCTCTGGAAAGAGAGGTTTGAAAAGGAGAAGTGGAGGGAGGGCATCTGTCTTAATTTGAGATTCCTAGAAGCAGAGCCTGAGACCAGAATTCTGGGACACAAGGTTCATTGAGGAAGCGTTCTTCAGGGAAAAAAGAAAAAAAAACAAAACAAAACCTGCTTAAGGGAGTGGAAGGAGCAAGATAAAGAGGTGGGGAGGAGCCTAGAAAAGCTGTGAACTCAGGCAGTCTACTTCCTGGGCCTGGTGCCTGCGGGGAGAGCTCGGAGCACAGAGCTCACTGCAGAGTTATCCCCTCCTAAGCCAGGCCACCAGACTCTCGTGCACCTGCACCAGTCAGACATGGGGTGGGGCTTTCCGCTCAGCGTGCAGGGAAGTGTAACCTTCAGAACAACATGGATCCCATCGGCCAACGACACGTTTGCAGAGAGGAAGCCAACCAGAAGGCATGGGTGTGCTGGTCTCAGAAAGGGCGTCTGGGCAAAAAATACCTCGTTAAGTGACTCGCCCCATCTCATAGCTCGTGGGGGACAGTTGGGATTTTAATTTGGACCTCCCTCGACTACAAAGGCTGGGTCTTTCTAGAACATCACACTGCTTCCCTAGAAGATTAACATTTTGAGGAAAATGTGCAGAACAATAGCAACAGAGCCTAAGGAAATACAGGCAAACAGCTACTTATAGCTTCTCCACTGCTAAGAGAATTTCCAGTTCATCCCTAACCCCACCTCATCATTTTAGGTTTCCTTTTATTGATTCTTTAAAATCACCAATATGCAGTCATTACAGATGATGTGCAGGACAATTTCTTTGACAATTGTCCCAGCTATCTGTCATTGCACTGCAAACCAACCCCAAACTTAGAGACTCAAGAGGACAATTTATTATTATTATCAGTCACCATTCTAGGAGCTCACTGACCTCTGATGGTCTGCTCTTAGGGTCCCAGATGCTGGCTGGGGCTGGAATCATCAGAGGCATGATGGGGCCAGACATCCAAGGTGGTGTACTCACATGGCTGGCTATTGAGTAGGAGCTTAGCCAGGGCTGCTGATGGAGTGCCTTCCCGTAGCCTTTCCACGGGCTTCTCACAGAATGAAAGCTGGGTTCTGAGAGGGGGTGTTCCAAAAGCCAGCACCCCAAGAGGAGAAACGTAAGTCACCAATGCCTAGAACTGAAGCAACATCACTTCTTCTCTATGCTATTCATCCAAGCAGCCCACATCCAAGGCCTGAAAACATAGCCTCCACTCCTTGATGGACAAACGGCGTCTGCCTACAGAGAAGGGAGGAATTGATGGCAGCCATCTTTGGGAGCAAACATCTACCATATCCAACGCAGTTCACATCCTGGTCCTCACGTAGCTTACGGTTGTATCTTTGGCCCCTCCCCACGCGTACCTGATTGATCACCTACCTAGACTCCTCCCAATCTCCTTGAATACACCAAGTGCTCATGTCACAAGCGTCTTTGCATATGTTTTCCCCTCTTAGAATGCCATCCCCGACCTCCTTACATAACCAAAGCTATTCACCTTTAGCGGCCCAGCTTGATTCTGGGGTCCTCTGAGATGCCTCCCCAGCTCGGCTCAGAGTCTAGCGTTCTTTGTGGGGCCCAAGAGCCCTTGGCTCTTGCTTCTACTTTCGCGCTTTCCTTATCAGCTTTCGTCGTCGTTGCTGAATACCCCTCACTGCCTCACTACACTTTTCTCGGTTCGAGAATCCTTCATATCTAAACTCTGTCACACAGTGGAATATATGCAGTTAAAAATTCCCAAACAAGAAATCATAAAACCACTGTTTACCATTTAGCCTATAATTCTATGGCACAACATAGGGTGACATTTATCCCCATAGGTAAATAAAGAGTGATGGATGTAAAGATGGATATATTCAAGTTTCTCAGAGGTCAAATCAGCATGAAAACAAATATTTTATAAGGCATTGGCCTAAACCTGACTTCTATTATAAAAACCCCATGAGATTTGTTAAGCCTAAGGGCAAGGGTTTATTAAGTACACACTATGTGTCATTTACCTGCTGGGTGCTTTACCTGAGTGGTCTCGAACTGGGAAACAAAGAGTGATGTGTGAGTTGAGTTTTGCTTTGTGGTGCTCTCCAAATCTCAAGCGCCGATGACAACAAACATTTTATTTTTCTCATTCATGGGATCGTGTGTCACCTGGGGTAACTCTGCTTCAAGTCTTCTCCTTGGGTCTCTTTCTGAAGCAGTGGCTCCCCAGGACATAAGTGAAAGATGATAGGCCAAATCACGCGTGTGTGCACGCACACACACTCACACACACATCTACTCATGCTGCATGCATGGGCCAAGCAAGTCACAAATCAAGCCCAGCATCAGTAAAGTGGGAAATACACACTGCCTCCTGCAAAATCACACGGCAAAGGGTATGAATAAACAGCTGTGAATCCAGCCTACCGCTGGTGGCCTACACGGCGCTGCCTGAATAACTTTTAATTATTCGCCAACATTTAAAAACAGGAATTTCCCATGAAAATTAAAATTTCCTGCTTCTCTTAACAAATTGTATTGAACAACAATAGACTCGCATTTCTAAACCCCTGGATGTAACAGCTGGCTGGCACCGAGTCATAATTACCCGGCTTAGATGTTCTCCGGCTTGTCACACTCAACCCATTGCATTCACTCACTTCACCTACCTGGCTTCATCGGCTACTGTATCCATCATGTCCTCGCTACTCCTTAAAACTGCATTTGGAAGTTGGAATTATAGGCCCCATTTTACAGGTGTGAAGACTGATACTCAAGCAGATTAATTAACACCATTCGTCACATAGCTAATAAATGGCAAAGTGGGCTTTGCACCTGGATCCTCAGGGCCAAAGCCTGTTTTTGTGCCAAATCATGTTGGTTTAATAGGAGTCACGACAGTGATTACCCTCTATGGGTCGGGTTAGAAGCGTGGCAAGCACGATCACATTGAATCTTGGCAATATCCCAGCGGGCAAAGGAAGGTTATTCTGCCCCACTTTGCAGGTGAGACTTAGAACAGTTAAGCAGCTTTCCCAAGGTCACAGAGCTCATGAATGGCATCATCATGTCACCCTGACTCTGAACCAACCGCTTTATCAGACTTACCGTCAGGGGCATAGTCTGCAGGTTGGGTGCCTGGAGGTGTTCTCCGACGTGGGAGAGGGTTCTGGCATTTACCCTTCTGCCATTCACTATGTATTTTCAGGGGCTGTCAAAGAGTATGTCAGAGATCAAGACGCGCCACGTACCTGGTCATGGAA